TTAAGAAAATGCCTCCATAAGATAGGGCTGTTGGCAAACCTGTGGGGCATTTTTTAAATTAGTGATTGATGGGGAGGGCCCAGCCCATGGTGGGTGGGGCCATTCCTGGGCTGATGGTCCTGGGTTCTGTTAGAAAGCAGAGCCAGGCAGTGGTGGCGCACACCTTTAGTCCCAGCACTCAAGAGGCAGCAGAGGCAGGTGGATCTCTGTGAGTTCAAGGCCAGCCTGGGCTACAGAGCGAGTTCTAGGACAGCCAAGGTTACACAGAGAAAGAAACCCTGTCTCAGAGAGAGAGAGAGAGAGAGAGAGAGAGAGAGAGAGAGAGAGAGAGAGAGAGAAGAAAAGCAAGCAAGCAGGTTGAGAAAACCATGGAAAGCAAGTCAGTAAGCAGCACCTCTCCATGGCCTCTGTATCAGCTCCTGCCTCCAGGTTCCTGCCCTGCTTGAGTTCCTGTCCTGACTTCCTTCAGTGATGAACAGCAATGTGGAAGTGTAAGCCAGATAAACCCTTTCCTCCCCAACTTGCTTTTGGTCATGGTGTTTCATCACAGCAATAGAAACCCTAACCAGGACAGCCAGAGTCTTACTATGCAGCCCTGGCTGACCTATAACTTGCTATGTTCAGGCTGGCCTTGAACTCACAGAGATCTACTTGCTTCTGCCTCCTAAGTGCTGGGGTCAAAGGTGGACACGACCAATGTGCCATCACGTTCCCATCGCTTGCACAAAGCAGGCTGTTGGCAATTGTTTGCCGAGAGTGACTTCTCACCAAGCTCTCTCACAAGATGGGGAAGAGGGGAAGAGGAGGGAACTTGTCACTCTGCCCAGGGGACAGAGGTGCTTCATAGAGGAGGGGACATTGGAGTTTCACTGTGAAGGGTCTTTGGGAAGAGGAAGGAAAGGCAGATAGGGAAGGGAACTTTCGTGAGCAAGGCCAGGGGCAGGAGGTTTGACATAGGGTAGGAGGGTGAAGCACACTCAGGTTCCGGCTTACAGAGGCACACAACATCACGGAGCCTTCTGGGTATCCATCCAGGAGACAAAGTTGTCGGTCAAACGGAGCTTTGGTCGGCCAGGCTGGTGAAACAGCGCCACCCACTGGTGGAGCCTGTGCCTGTCCCCGGGGTCCGCTAGGAGCTTTACCGAGTTCTGGAAGTCTGAGTGCCACCAGCCCGCAGCGTGGCCCGGAGACTAGGAACCAGTGGGGAGCTGCATTGGAGGGACAAGCTCTCCCCGTGCAGTCCAGGGGCCTGAAAGCAGAAGCCTAGGGCAGCTTCTGGAAGGAAAAGTGTTCCCTGGCACAGGATAGCCTGAATAGGATAACTGGCTCCAGGAACGATTTCTCCGGCTCAGTTCACCGTGCCACGGACTGCTGTGAATGTTTCTTAACATCTTCTGGCCTTGGTTTCCACATGTGCAAGCTTGGAACGAGAATGGTCTCTACCTCTTGCCTTGTTCTGCAGGAGCGTATATAAGCTGCCTGCCACAGTATTCCCCGGGCTGTTACTGAATCTCAATTTACTGTATTAGGGCCAGTGATAGGGCTCAGTGGGTAAAGGTGCTTGCTGCCAAGCCTGAGGACCTGAGTTTGGTTCTCGGCACCCACAGAGTGGAAGGAGAAAGCCAGCCCCTGGAAGTTGTCCTGTGATCACTCCGTGTGTGCCGTGGCATGTGCACAGACCTCTCCGCGCAATAATAATAATAAAAAGTATTTTTAAATGTTCTGTATCATGATAATAATTATTTTTGTGTGCATATGCAAATGCACTTGGATGTTGTCCACTTTAAAAAACAATTAAAGATTTTTAAAATTGTTTTTAATTAAGTGTATGGTGTGTTTCTGAGTATGGGTATGTACACATGAATGTGGGTGCCCGTGGAGGCCAGAGGCGTTGGATCCCCAGAGCTGGAGTTACAGGCAGTTGTGAGCTGCCCAACGTGGGTGCTTGGAATCAAACTCGGGTCTTCTGGAAGAGCAGTACATATTTTCAATCACTGAGGCATCTCTCCAGCCCCTCACAACAATTTTTAAAGATTTATTTATTTTATGTTGTGTGTATGAGTGTTTTGCTTGCATGTGTATATATGTACCATGTGTGTGCTGCCTCAGAGTTCAGAAGAGGGAGTCTGATGCCCTGGACCTGCAGTTATGGTTGTGAGCCGGGTGCTGGGAACTGAACCCGGGTCCTCTGCAAGAGCAACAAGTGCTCTTAACCACTGAGCTATCTCTCCAGCCCTCTGGCTGCCTATTTTGAGACAGGGTCTCTCACTGGTGTGGAACTCACAAGTAGGCTAGACTGGCTGGCCAGTGAACCTCGGGGGTCCTCCTGTCTCTGCCTCCCCTATTCAGGGATTACAAAAGCATGCCACCACACCTGGCATTTTTATGTGAGTGCTGTGGATTTGAACTCAGGTTCCTATGCTTGAACGGTGAGCACATTACCTGCTAAGCCAAGTCTCCAGCCCTGTACTAGGATTCTGACTAGCATCATCACTTAAGATGTGGACTGGAGTACCCCTGAGGGGTTCAGAGGCTGGGAGAGGTGGGGGGCAGCGTGTGACACAGTGTCTAGAGGGGGCTGTCCCACCCCAAGAAAAGCAGGGGCTTGTAGCGGAACCCTGGAGTGCTTATGAAGCATGGCTTGGAGGGGACGTTCAAGAATTCCCACAAGCAGAGCTCGATTTCTAAAATCCAATTTTAGAAACGGCTGTGATTTGTGTGTTTTCCTGTCAACAGGGTAGCTCCAGATGCTGCTACCAATTAATTCGTCATTTCTCCATGTGCCAACTGAGTCACCCCCATGGCAGTGGATTTAAATGTTTGTGAAGTCATGTAGTCTTCTGTGAAAGCGGGATCGGTGCATACATGTTTGGGTAGAGAGTTGAAGCTACACACACGAAGCCGGGCTTGTGATCTTTTTGTTTTTGTGGTTTTTTCTTTTCTTTTTGAGGTGGGGTCCCACTATAAATAGCCTAGGCTGGCTTCAGACGTGAGATCCTCCAGCCTCAGCCTCCCTAGGTGCTGGGATCACAGGTGTGCACCATAACATTGGGCTTGATTTCATTTTTTAACGTTTCTCTGTGTGTGCGTGTTCTCCAGCGTGCATGCGTGTGCATGCATGCACACACAGGACACACATAACAGCAGAGACCAGGAGTTGGTTCTCTCCCTCCAATGTGAGTCTAGGGGATTAAATCCAGGTCATCAGCCTTGGCAGAAAATGCCTATTTACCTATCATACCTTCACACCAGCCCTTCAGCCTTACTTTTCAAGACTCAATCTGGAGCTCACCGGTGCAGGCAGACTGGTTTGGCCAGCAAGCCTCAGGAATTCTCCTGCCTCCACCGAGTGCTGGGATCATGAGCACACGTCACCACACCTGGCTTTTTAATGCGGGTTCTGCAGATCAAACTTACTTGTCTTTGTATGTGCAAGGCAAGCACTTTCCTGACCAAGCTGTCCCTCAGCCCTGCTTGTAACCTTCTTGACGAGTCTCGGAGTTTGAACTGAGGAAGAATTCTGCTGTGGCTGCCCCAGTTTTAACTGAAATGGGTTTGCTGAGGGCGGCACCTGCTCCTACAACCCCAGTATTACCTCAGAATGTAAGACACTTCCCCACAGCAGCTGGATGCGTTTGGAGAGCTAGGGAAAGGAAGGGATGAGCAGGTTCCGTGGTGCAGGCCCGGGTGAGTGTCTTAGTCAGGGTTTCTGTTGCTGCGACAAAATACCATGGCCAAAAGCCAAGTTGGGGAGGAAAGGGTTAATTTGGCTCACACTTCTAGGTCACAGTCCCATCATTGGAGGAAGTCAGAACAGGAACTCAGGCAGGGCAGAACCCTGGAGGCAGGAGCTGATGCAGAGGCCATGGAGGGTGCTGCTTGCCAGTTTGCTTCCCATGGCTTGCTCAGCCTGCTTTCTCTTGTTGTTGTTGTTTTGTTTTGTTTTTGTTTTGTTTTTCGAGACAGGGTTTCTCTGTGTAGTTTTGGTGCCTGTCCTGGATCTCACTCTGTAGAACAGGCTGGCCTTGAACTCACAGAGATCCACCTGCCTCTGCCTCCCGAGTTCAGCCTGCTTTTTATAGAACCCAGGACCACCAGCCCAGGGATGGCCCCACCCACCATGGGCTGGGCCCTCCCCCATTGATCACTGAATAAGAAAATGTCTTACAGCTGGATCTCATGGAGCCATTTCCTCAACTGAGGCTCCTTCCTCTGATGACTCTAGCTTGTGTCGAGCTGACACACAGAACCAGCCAGTACAGTGAGCAGTCCAGATACTCAGGGGCAGAGGCCAGAAGACTGCATGTTCAAGGCCAGCCTAGGCAACTTAGTAAGACCCTGTCTTAAAGAGTGGGCTGAGGGTGTTTGGTGGGAGAATGCCTGCCTAGAATCCTCCAGTGAGGGGCTTGGGTGTGGCTCAGTGGTAGAGCACCTGCCTAGAATCCTCCAGTGAGGGGATTGGGTGTGGCTCAGTGGTAGAGCACCTGCCTAGAATCCCCCAGTGAGGGG